ATGATTTCAGTTTCCATTTGGAACTCAATGCGGTAAGGGACGGTAAACACATCCAGTCTTTTGCAAAATTCTAACTACAACATAAATTCATTTTTTAATCGACGCCTTCTTCGGCGTTTCCGTCCTAACTGCAGGGCGTGAAATTAATTTTTTTTCAGATAGCCACTTGGCTCCTAAATTCTTCAAAGTGGTAGCCAATTCAAAAAAAGTCGGTCGCCTTTTTCAAAGACAAACAAAACCTTTTGTTACGCTGTCAGCTTTTTAGATAGACCCTCCAAAATTAAGGGCCTGTTCACATGGAGGTAGGGGAACCCAGGTAGGTGAGGTAACCCGCCTAGCCGTGGTCGAAAAATAAAACGCGTTAACATGCAATCTTACAACCCCGGGGTGCTGGGGTGAGGTTTCTTGAGGTTGTTGTTGCGCTTGCAATTAAGGAGTTTGAGTAGAGGCGTCCCAAGCTCACATCTCGAAAAAGACGAAAGATTAATTCTCGGACACATGTATTTATTTATGAAAGCGTCACGAGTTGTGTTACGCGGTGTTTGGTTTTGCGAGAAACCCTTGACTTAATACGTTATACAGAATAGTTTGGGAAACCAATTATGGTCGATTTACAACGCTAAATATTGCGAAATGTGAACATTTTACACTCCTTGTGTGTCCGTTGCGGTTTCTGGTGATTTCTGTCATGAGACAGCTAGGAAATGTACAAAGTTTTAAAACATACATGTTACGCTTTTGAGCTTTTTACCATGAATGCGACCCCGGCTAGGCGGGTTACCCCACCTTGACACGTTTACATGGCAAATTGTCACCCCGGCTGACAGGGTTACCCTACCTGGCAAACTGGGCAACCCGCCTAGGCGGGTCACCCCACCTATCATGTAAACGTGATCAAAATAAAATAAGAAATTGTATGGACAGGCGGGTTACCCCACCTAGGCGGGTTACTTCACCTACCTGGGGTCCCCCACCTCCATGTATGCAGGCCCTAAGTTAGGGAAAGGATCTTTAACGTGCTACAAAGTGGACACTAGGATGGATGACATACAACGTTCAAGATCATCTAAATTCAAGATGGTGTCTAGTTATCGATCGAGGTGCATGTGCTGCCACTGGAAACAAAATTAACGAGGAAGTTTGCCGCGGATTTATCTGTATCTTTGCAAATCTTTTTAATTCAATATATCTCTTGGCAGGGTTATGATGAAACAATCTAATCCGGCGGCGCCAATATGGCGACTAATCTTCAGGATTTGGTTGCTAAAGTGAAAAATTTAGTCGCATTGGCGCCTGTATTAGGCACAATTTCACGCCCTTAGGGGGTGAGGGTGGGGGCTGCACGTTGATGACACAAGGTCATACATCGGGAGCGCAAATTGATGTGTAAGTAGACGATGAATGCAATGCAAAATACAGATACTTCTTTGTAGTGATATAAATTTTTTGACCAGAACAGAAATACAGAGAAATTGTTTACTAGCACCAAACATGTCAGAGCTTGTGTCTTTGCAATCAAAACGTTTAAAAGTTCCAAGTCCGTAAGCTCCCCATTTGAACTTTATGACAAACTAACCATTGAGGGAAAAAAATCGCACATCACATAACCTTTATGTACAGTATTTAAATGGAATTAAACCACTCGTACTTGTTAAAAGTTTCCAGAGCATTGTGGAGACCTAGATTAGAAATCAAGTCATATTTGGTGGCGGAGCATTATTACACGTGCTTTTCAAACAAATTATATATTTTCCCATTCTGGTAGGCTCCGACCTCTCTAATATACGATATACGTCATCCTTTGGTGAAATACAACCCCCAACGGAAATCTTCCAACATCTACCATGGAAACTGGTTTAAGATAATACCACTGTGATCATGGAGGATGATGAAAGGAAAATGAAGGAGACATATATTCTCACATATTCCATCGGGAAAGACATCCGGGGTTTATCTTAGAATTTCGCAATATTAAACTAAAGAGAAAATCTGGTAGAAAAAGAAAGAGAAACAACCAGGACGACAAGTATAAATATTTTATTTCTCAGGCCCTGTATACAAACAACTTCAACAGCGGAAGCATAAGGAATAAGAGTTTAATGAATGAGTTGTTTCTTGATCGGAATAGATTTCATTTTTGAGTGTAATTCACGCCTTTTCCACGCTTTGACCACGTCCAAGAAAGGCCCCCTGGCCCAACAGATAAGGTATCTGACTACGAATCTGGAGATTCCAGGTTCAAATCCTGGCGGGGTCGCTGATATTTTGAGTAAAAAAACTTTGTATCCAATGGATTTCTTTTATTTTTTTAAGTCACCTTTCACCAAGTTATGAGGCCAGATACCACATATGGGGCGTAGTTATGTTTGCTACCGTAGCATTACTGCATTTGCTATTAAAAAGTATTGAATGTTTATCGAATATTCTCCGGCTTCTCTGATATAGGTCATCCTTTAGTAAAATGCAACCACTCCCAGTTGAGTTATGATGCTTGTCACATTTGCTTGTTTTCCCAAGTAATAAGAAGTCAACTTAAATTAAACCTCAACACAAGTGAAAACTAAAGCATTCCTGGTTATTTTCTCCTGTAGATGCAGCAAGCCATGATATCAGCTCGGAAAGTGTGCTTTGTTACTGATGTGCATTGCTGAATTGCAAGGAGCTAGCGTATTAGTTTCGTCGTGATATGCCAAGGGATCAGCTACCTGGCAAGTATTTCAAGATTCTGATTTTTTTCATCACTTTAATGATTACATGCAGGCAGGATTGGTAGACTCAAAATTCGGTCACCAACTTAACAAAACTAGGACAAAATTACAGAGACAAGATACCCATTGGTTAAACGTATTCATAAGTGAAAACATAGTCACTGTCACATAGCATGCTATTTAGAGCGCTTTGCAATGGAAAGTCGTGAAACCAAAACCAAAGTTATCCAGGCGGCCAATCAGACGAAAGGAGAAAACCTTTAAGAGCCAATGAAAACTTAAAATAAAAGAAATCAAACGGCCTGAAGGGTGGGGAAAACGCGGACGACCATTTCGTGATTGGTTTTAGTTTTGCGTCTGATTGGTTGAGAGAATGGTGGCAGTTCTCAGGACCAATCACAAAGCGATGTCGGATTACTTTCGACACCCAACTTTAATGGTAAATACTATTGCTTTGATACATCGTCGAAGTACAATCATGATACGCTAGCTATCCAGTTGGTGCTGAAAACCAATTACGTTCTAGAATTTGATATCGATTTGATTACAGACGAGGACATTATGTTAAACCCAAAGGTAACCCTTTGTGCGCATGTCCTTTCTTACCACAGCGACAGTGCATAGACGTGCTGATTGTTATTGGAGTAAAAATTGCCGAACTCAGAGGACCAAACCACTTCATGCAAGGTAAGGCTCTAGCTAGCAATAGTCATGCTAAGTTATGCTCTCATTTCAGTGTCTGGTTGGAGTAAAAAGTGTTGATATTCAGCGTGCTCGGTATTCTTTTTGTTTTCAGTCGCTTCAATCACATTTGTGAATAGACTAGATTTATATAACTGAGAATATCTCCATCAGCAAGAAGTTTGCCCAAAAGTTTGCCGGTACCTATCATAATGCAAACATATCCCGGCATACTTTTTCAAACAGATATTATCTTCGAAACTATACACCTCATTTGCATCTCATGTTTATTTGAATAAAAACGAGACAAACAACTCTGACAAATTTGGTTAGCACTCACCAAACAATTATCAAATATGACAATGCCACATACATATTTACAAAAGCTTTAAGAAATGATGTTCTGAAAATTGAAATCTTTATACCTTTACACATACGGTTGTTTGATTTATTTTCTTACAAAAGTTTTCAAAAGACAATGAAATATAACGAACTCAAAGTAACAAACGACTCCCAGCTTTGAAGTTATTGAACAATTAAAAAGATAAAAGACTGTGTCGCCTACATTGACGATGATCTGTTGAATAAAAAAGAGAATCCGAGTCAATGTTACGATTTTAAGTCAAACGAAAGAAAAGTTAGTACTACAGTTAACACAATGCTAATTATTGACAGGTTTATTTTTGGCATTTGATTTACTGAACAGCACTACACCTACTTCCGTATATTGTCTTACTGGCCAACACCTTACGAGGTCTTACGACAATGTTTGAACTCAGGGAGCTTATAACAGGCATTTTACAGGTTACTACTTTTTTTCCCATTGGAAACAGCGCTTGCCAGAACAGGATCTAATGGGTGATGGTAAGAATATGGACTCCCCAGACAGTTAAAAAAAGATTGGGCGAGGAAGTACCAAAGCTGAGAGGTACATTGACAGTTCTAATTGTCTAACTGGTTCGTCACTAAAACTAAATATGTGCAATCGTATTTCACAAGTTTTCTTATTCATACCTTTAGCTGGCTTGGTGGAGGCCGTTAAATTTGATCTGACATTCTTCATGGCCTCAAGATCATTCGCTTTGACTGGAACGTTTGTAACTTCAAGACATCCAGCGTTTCCCAATAGAGTGTCAAACCATGATGGTTGAAGGTCAAAATAATCTTTGCCTAGATAAAAGATAAATCAATTTTTGTTTTAGTTATGATGGCAATGCTGAGAATTTCGTTTAAGCATAAAGATACCTGGGATTTTTAGCTTACCAAACCAAAGTGAGTTAAATTGAGCGAGACACTTTTCTAAACCGCCGCATAAACCGTGATCTTGAGCAAGGAAGCAAGCTAACTCTTTTTAATTAAATTACCTCCTCCGAAAAAGGGTTGATCTGACTGGATAAGTCACGAGTCTTTAATGCAGAAGAAATCGTCACAGTTTGAGCTTAAACAAAGTTGAAAGCAGGGATGTGTGTTCGTTTTGTAACGCCTCTAGCTATCTTGGAAAAAAAGTTCACCTTAATACCAGACGGGTTTGTCACTTTCAGAATACACTACTTTGTATAGATGTGGACTATTTCTTATATAGAATGGTATTTTACAATTTTCCATCTTCATACCTTTAGCTGGCTCAGCTGTGGGGGCCTTTGAATTTGATTTAACATTCTTCATGGCTTCAAGATCTTTTCCTTTAACTGGAACGTTTTCAACTTCAAGACATCCAGCATTTTGGGATAGAGTGTCAAACCATGACGGTTGAAGGTCAAAATAATCTTTGCCTAGATAAAAGATAAATTAAGTTTTGTTTTATGATTGCAATGTAGAGAATTTCGTTTCCACATAAAGATACCTAAGATTTTAGCTTACCGAACCAAAAGTGAATTAATTTCAGCGAAACAATTTTTCTAAACCGCCGCAAAAACCGTGACCTTGAGCACTCGATAAAAGAACAAGCTAACTCTTCAATTAAAGCTACCTCCTCTGAAAAATGATTGATCTGAGTGGGTAAGGCACGAGTCTTGAATGCAGCAGAAATCATCACAGTTTGAGCTTGAACAAAGTTGGAAGCATGGATATGCGTTCGTTTTTACCCCTTTAGCTTTCTTGGAAAATAAGTTCACCATAATACCAGAGGAATCTGTGTTATTTTTGTATGATGTAACACCTCATAAAGTTGCTCACTGAATTTGAGTCAGGCCAGTACATTGCAAAAGTACTAAAGCTGAAGGGTACATTGACAATTCTAATTGGCTTAATAGGTTCTTCACGCTCAGAAGACAGTACTTCGCACAGATGTGGACTATCACCTATGTAGAATCGTATTTTAAAGTTTCCATCTACATACCTTTCTTCATGGCTTCAAGATCTTTTGCTTTAAGTGGAACGTTTTCAACCTGAAGACATCCAACGTTTTTTGATAAAGTGTCAAACCATGACGGTTGAAGGTCAAAATAATCTTTGCCTAGATGAAAGATGATTAAATAATCAAAGCTGATATATGGAAGAACATGCCATCAGTTCTGAGTATCTAACTGTTTTGTGACTCGTAAGACTACACTGCTTTCGCGCAGGTGTGCACTGTAAAGGAATGGTAATTTACAAGTTTCCTTCTTCATACCTTTAGCTTGCTCAGTGAAGGCCCTTGAAGTGGATTTGACATTCCTTATGGTTTCAAGATCTTTTGCGCTAACTGGAAAGTTTTCAACTTTGAAACATCCACCGTTGTTGGATGCAGTGTCAAACCATGATTGTTGAAGGTCAAAGTAAGCTTTGCCTAGTTTAGAAAAAAAGAAAGAAGCAGAAATAAAAATAAAAGTGCATGGAAGAACTGTTAATGAAATCAAAATATTTATTTTTATTGTTTTTTTAGAGGGCACGGTAACGAATCTTGCAATCTGATTGGTTCTTTACCCGGTCAGTATTTTCCTATCTCTGCCCACGGGCCACGGTAACGCTTTCGTGAATCGCCGAGTACATCCCAACTTTCGTTGTCATTTTTCATAAATATACCTCGTTTTCCGGCTGGGCAGTATTTTTAAGCAAACAAGTCGGTCACTACCTCAAGCCGATAAATAACTTATGAATCCTCTCTTTTCTCTCTATCAAATCACTTTGGTTGACAGAAAAATATTGGTTTCAGAATGAATTTGTATAAACAATAGTGTCATTACGTTAGTTGACAAGCGGCCTAAAACCGTCTGCAATTAATTTTAATCGTTCACAAAAGTACCCAGAAAGTTGAAACGTGAGGTATTTGGTTACAGTTAAACTGAACGATGGAACTTTCATTCATTTAATATCTGAATTTTCTCGAGCAATTTGTTCATAGTGAAAGAGCGAGCGAAGTTTTAATTTAAGTTCTACAACAAATATACGCTCCTGGTAAGTCTTTCCAATTCCGTTCAATTTGGACATTTGTACCTTAAATTGCACAACAGAAATTGAAGGAATTTTTTGAGAAAAGACTGCATTACATTCCCTTGTGTCTCGTTGGAGTGTGCCGTTCGAATTTAGTTTTTGTGAAGGAAAGATCAGAGTTAAACACGCCATTACAGCAAACAAACGAGCAAACTCTCACAACTTCAAAATAAAAAAATTGAATTTACTCACAATTACTTTCCTCGCCGTTTACTTAATGAACAGAGGTAAATCTTCGTACATGAATGAATGGTCGATGAGAGTGAAAAATACTTTCCGTTAGATCATTAACTGATTTTGAAGAAAACATTGTCGTGACAGTCCTTGCCAAACTAGTTCTGTTTGTTTTCAAATGTTCCTACGCTTTTTTTTTCTTGCGCGCTCTCTAATTGACAGGTGTCAGATTGTGACAGATACTTGTAAAAATAATGTTTCAAAGTTTGTTTGGAAGCCTTTTAAATCACCTTTATCGTTACGGAAATGAAAATGTTCCGCTGAGGCATCTCTCTTAAATTTGCATCACCTCTTCTTAACTACCATTTACCCACTCAAAAATTTGTTCAGTTTATGGAAGATCTTGCCGTATTTACGGCCATAAATCATTCGGGTTCTTTCGGAAAGAATTTCGTTAAGTTTAAAAACAATAAATATGTTATTTACCGGCTAAGGGTCGGTCCGTATGGTGAAAAACTGTGACCTCGGTCTTGAAAATGCTGCCCTCGGCCTACGGCCTTGGGCAGTATTTTCAAGACCTCGGTCACAGTTTTTCACCATACGGACCTCCCAGCCGGCAAATAACATATATTTAGTGAAAGATGATGCAAACACCTCTTTCCTCTCCAAAAACAAGGCAGTCGTATCAACCGCGTTGTCACCACTCAGTTGATGCGACGCCATCCCAATTTACATACTCACCATTAAATATTTGTGGTTTACTCCAGGACTCTTCTGCTTCTGTTTTATTCTTCTGGAAGGTAAAATTAAGGCCCCCCTCGAGCTCGGCAATGTTGTACCTCGCCTCTTGCAGCTTTTCGTCTATTGATGCCATTTGCTTAACAAAATCAGATTGAGTTATTTGCCCATTTTGTTTTAGCTGGGACAGTTTTCCCTTGAGATCAGCAATGTCTTTGTCTGTCCCAAAGAGAGTTTGTTTAAGAAAGGCGATCTCCTTCTCTTTAGCTGTTAAAAAACAAATGAATATTTTAAGTACTTAGAATATTAGATTGAATAAATTCAAGGTTTGAGTGATAAGGTAAACCGGGAAGACACGGAAAACGGAACTATTTATGACGGAACGAGAAGCAGTAGGTTGGGGGAAGGGGTAAACGACTTATTATCAGTGGAGCGTCGGAAACTCATAGAAAAATGGCCCCTAGTCCGCGCGCACTTTTCTTTTCATGCATGCGTGACCGCATAAAACTAACCGTTAATCTCAGTTTCAAGGTGGATGATCTTCTGTGTTAGTTGTTCCTTTTCTCTCGCAGACTGAAAAAAAAAATTTGCCAACATATTGATTTTTTAATTAACGAAACTAGAAGAGAGCAAAAAAGCTGGGATACAAAACATTATCAACTTCCTATCCAGCGTGAAGATGGTGGAATGTGGAAGAGTGGCGTCATAATCTAAAAATTTCATTTGCGCGCGCTTTTTCACCTCTCCACGAAGAAAAAAATTTCAAACTCAGTTACCTGAACGCCTTTAATGCAGAAAAATTCTAGTTGCATTGAATGTTTCTCCAATGTTGGACGGACGGACTTAAAATTGAGCTAATTTTGGAGGGAACCGTTTTACAAGTCAAATCGGAACTAATTACGACCTATTTTCAAAGCTTATATATTGAATCAGGTAGTCTTGCGCGTTCGCCTTTAAAATCACTTGAACTTCCTTTTAACTTGCTCCTTCGGATAACAAATTGTAACTTTTACAATAACTAAACCTACTTTTTAAGGAAAGAAAAAAGAAGTGTAATGATGAGAAACGCCCACCTCATTAGCCATGATCCGTGCCCCATGTGAGGCCTCTAAAGGCTCATGATAATTCTCATCAGAACGATTTGTGACATTGACTTCATCAAATATTCTCGCGGAACAGGATTTCCTCACAGACTCTTTGTCACCTGAGTTGTTTTTGTTCATTTTGTAACTGATGTCTTCATTCAAAGCATTCGATAATCTAGAAAAATGCATTCTCTTTCACGGTGCTATAGCATGAACTGAGCTCTTAGTGCGAAACAAAGTTTCGATTTGTTTATGACTAGTTGCATGGTAACGTGTTTATGCCGTCACTTTGTGGCATCACGCCGGATTTGAAGTATTAAGTCTGGGCACTAGAATTTTGTTGAAACCAACCATAGTTGGCCATTATAACGCTTTTATAATGTTAAATCGATAATGGATAACACGTGAAATATCAGCGGACAACGATGTACATAGAACCCTTCACAGCAGAATAATTGATGCCATTGAGCGGGTTCCTTTCGTCCAAAGGAAAATGTGCGAACATTAAGTAAATTGTTTAAAGAATGCTTACTCCGTGTCCAGAGTGGCAGCGATCACGAAGGTGAAAATACCGAAAACAAAATAACTCCAAAGGACTTTAGGGGTGATGGCTTTTACGACTAACGGTTTTAACAGTAATGTTTTACAATTAACTTTTAATACGACTAACGGTTAAAAATTCGTCAATTTTATACGTCTAACCGCTAATTTTCTTTGCCGTTTTACTTCGACTGAGTGCCTTCCAATAACCTCCCCGCAAATTTAAGTCGAAATGTTAAATAAGCATCCGAGCGCCTATTCGAGGAAATAGGGTAACTGATTTAGTTTGAGCAGAAGCTCAGAAATTATCCTTTGCGTAAAACGAAAAGAATGCTGATATTTGTAGAAAGGAACAAATTCACGAGCGAAAACGAAATACGTGTTTTATCCTATTCTAGGGCCTGTTAACATGGAGGTGAGGGACCCCAGATAGGTAATGTAACCCGCTTAGCCGTGGTAGAAAAATGGCCCGCGTTTACATACAATCTCACAGCCCCAGATTTCCGGGTGAAGTTTCTCGAGGTTGTAGTCGCGCTTGCATTTAGTGAGTTAAGATGTCCTTTAATAGCGAAGTGCCGATTTTTAAAAGACAATTTTCATTTGCCGTTTATTTTTAAATGTTTATCAATTTTCATTTATTTTCCTCTAATAGAAGGATTTTTCCTTAGAAAAGTTTATGGTTTATTTTTAACGTGTTAACCGTTTCTGGCGGTACGACGTCTTCACTTTGGCATAACAAAATCATTCAACACTGCCAAGGCTAATAGATTAGAAGATTCTATTTGACTGAGAGTTAAAATGGGATTACGGTTTAGTCTTTCTCTTCGACATAGGTGAATTGTTCTGAAAGTGAATTGAATATTTCTTCGGAGCGATTAAGACTCCTGAACACCTGCAGGAGAATTGCCGCTTTCTTCAGTAGCGTTCCATGCTTTGAAATTCAAGAAAGGCCCTGTGGCCCAATGGATAAGGCGAATCTGGGGATTCCAAGCTCGAGTCCTGGCGGCGGGGTCGCTGCTGTTTTGGTGAAATAATCTTTGTATCTTCTGAATTTCTTTCATCCTTTTAATCGCTTTCATGAAGTTATTAGGCTGGATAAGAAATTATGGGTGTGCAACTGGGTTTAATAAAATTGAGAGATAAGTTAAAAGGTTTCGAACTTAAATTTCGCTCGCGATCTTGCTTCTGTTAAATGCCGCATGATAATTAAGTTACGTTTGGTAGAAGAACATTGCTACACGTGCTTTTCATACAAGTTATTTGTTTTTCCAATCTGATTCCGGCTTCGAATTCTATAACATAGGATATACGTCATCCTTTGGTGAAATAGTACCCCCACCGGAAATCCTTCCGCATCTACCATGGAAATTGGTTTAAGATAGTATCACTGATCATTAATAATTTCTGTTCTCCTCAATGAAGAGTCAAATCAATGTGATCCTGTAGGATGATGAAAAGAAAATGAAGGAGACGTACTCTCACATATTCCAGAGGGAAAGACGTGATCCAGGGTTTATCTTAGAATTTCGCAATATCAAACAAAAGTCGAACTTGTTAGTGTTTACAGAATTATTTTACTTTTTTTCTACGGTTAAATCATGCTCTGCTTATTTCATCCTTGTGCAAAGAATCGAGAGAAAATCTTGTAGAAAAAAAAAAGAGAGAAACGACTAGAACGAAAAATATAAATATTTTATTTCTCAGGTCTTGTATACATTACAACAGCAAAAGCAAGAGGAATAAGAATTTATTGAATGAGTTCTTTGTTGATTGGGATAGATTTCATTTATGAGCATAATTCACGGTCTTTTTTTCTTTTTTTTTTTCATGCAGAATGGTACACTCCATTTTCGGCGGGTAAAACTTTTGGAAACCAAGAAACGAAAATTGTCCTCTGTGCTTTCTCGCATTCCAACTATTCATCTCCCATTCACAACTTGTTTGCGGTTTCTTTTGGCATGAAATCACAGAAGCACCTAATGCAGCTTAGGGTTAGCTTTCCTACCTTCTGTTTTGTTCAATTGCTGAGCAATCAATGCGCCCGCAATCATTTGCTCAGTGGATTCTACCCATACCGATACAACCCTTCCGGGACCCTGGGCCCTCTCGAATAAGTAAATTACGTTTGCCGCCTGGTGCATTCCTTCCTTCCTTTCTCTCTGTTTTTTCTCCCTACTTACCTCTCCTCCGTTCTTTTTTCTTTTTTTTCTCGATACGAGCCTCGATCAAAGAAACGAGGCTCGATTGCGTAATCGAGCCTCGTTTGTCGCAAAGTGGCAAAACGAGGTATCGTGGTCGTTTCAGATCGAGAGTTTTTGGTCTGGTTTACCAGAAACCTTGAGTGATCCGGTTTCGTTAACAGAATCGTAAATTTTTATGTAAAATTTTTACGGAAAGTTTTTCTTTTGCTCAGTTCCAGTACTACCTCTGAGTGCTTAAAAGACTGGAAAAAATTACATGGATTTCCAAATAGAACCATGGAAAAAGCTATAAAGGTCAAGAACTTAATTAGTATCAAGTGGAAAAATAACGACAGCAATATTTTGAAACTGGTTCAACAAGTCACTCACGCATTACAATGTTTGAGATAATGTATGTTTGCGTGGTGATTTAATGTTTTCAAGTCAGGTCATTGTCAAAATGTTGTTTAGGGAAGCAAAATATTATTTTTTTACCACACTTTGCACACTTTTTTTGGCAAAGTTTCTTAAGGGATTGTGTAGTAATTCCAAAGACGCTAAAATAAAAGACAGCTTAAGAGAAATATCGTAGGCGTTTGTTTTAACCAGATTACAGAGTAAAACAGATAGCACTGTTGTTCATTGTTAAGGCGGCAAGGTTGCGGGATAAAGGGTGCAAGTGGTAGGAGTGTCTGCATGCGGTCCACTGACGCTTGCTTGCGCAGGAAACATCAACGAACGCTATGATCGCAAGAAGGTTGTTTTGTTTCTCAATGCTTTTCAGTGCATTTCTTTGATCGTTTCTCCTCAACCCATGTGACTTGATTCTCGTCTTACAATTAAAAATATTCTGGCGATGAAGTTCTGGTGATCAGTATTCTAGCGTCAAATATTAGTTCCAGTGTCAAATTGTAATCCTAATACATCCATCAACAGACATAACGTCAAATGATCATACCGTATTATGGGAGCCAAACGAGTTTTTCATCCCTTCATTTGATGTAAATTACGTTAATTTCATTCTTGAAGCATGAAAAAGTGATTGCATGCGCGAATAAAGGTTTGATCGTGTCACGTTTTCTTGATATGGTGTCCTTCTCTTTTCGTTCTTTGACTGTCTCTGAGGGCGTTAATACCTGAACTATGACTATCACTGTAGTGAGGAATTCTCATTCCCACCAAAACCTACACGTCCCACCCCCCTCCCACCTCCACTTCGCTCTGCCTTAAAAAGGAAATTCAAGAGATGAATTCTGGCCGGTTTTGTTTGGAAACCTTCCTGTGACTTATGTTTCAAACCACCGACCCATTCGTATTGTGTACGGTCAATACGGATGACAGTTCTTAGAGTCTTCATTCAACTTCGCGATGTTATGAGTCATTTCGTTGCTAAAGAAATTAATCTTTACATAGAAGTAAAACATAAAATAAAAAGACCTGTTTGAGGTGCGTTGGTCCTGTAAGAGAAAATTAAGAAAAACCCTTGTTTTTTTTATTTCTTATGTTTTAATCGGTTATGGCGCTTAAGGAAACTTTCATTATTTCATTATTACGATTATCATTATTATGTCAGCTTTGCATTTGTACTCTTATGAATCAAGAACATCGATCATTTCTACCCCAACCTACTTGCCCCAACCCCCCTCACTCTTCCACTCCGTTCTGCTTAAAAGAGCGCATACAGTAGTAATCAGTTTGCTGAAAAAATTTTTGATTCTTTTTGCTCTTGACCAGTTAGCCCGCAGCAGTTCTCACAGTTATTTAAAAAGCCTTTAAAAAGAAAGTTCTGCGCAAAATTTAGAAGTCATTCTGAAATTTTGTGGGTGACTGGCTTTTCTTTCTGTTGTGGTGGCGTTGCACTGTTTTTAGACCATGAAATGTTAATGTCAAGTGCAATTTCTTGGGCATTTTACTTTACTTCCAATGCACAGAGGCGTTTGCTTCCAGCCAAAAGTAAAAAGGAACTTAGCAACAGTGCTTAGCAACAGTTAGGTAAATATTTTCCATATCATATCATATGATTCGATATATGATTACCTGAGGTGAATGAAAAAATCAGAACACTAGATATGAAATTTCCGGAGGCCAAAATTTAAGAGTGTGTCCACGAGAGCACCAGGCAGTCGTGCTACATGCCACCTTACCGATTTCAATAAAACGTTGCTAGTTTAAAGGGTCTACCCTAAAAATCAAACAGACAAACTGGTTTCTGTTTTGATTCTTTCCGGGGAAGGATAGACCATCCCCCCTCTCCGGTTTTTCTTGGTTTTCACAAAGGAAATTGCTTCAAAATGGTTAAAATGCACGAAGTTATCACTGCAATGGTTTTTAACCGATTACTCTGAGAGACAGCATACATAATAATTACTTCTTGTTTCAAAGAACCCCTGTTATTTATAATTTATTGTAATTAGAACATACAACTGGGTCCCGATAAGTTTTATGTTTCGTGACTCCCAAAAACTTTGT